ATATATTCAGTATATATATATATATATATATATACATATATACACACACACACACACACATATACATACTTTATATATCTCTTTCTCTATCACACACACTATGGCATATTTCAAAAGTCCTCTATTTATGTCTAGTGTCTACGATTATGTAATGCACAAAAAAAAGCAACAAAGCACCAAAAATCACCTATTATTTAAAAGCTTTCAAGTTGTGAAATTGGATTCCATTGCCATGGTTTTCTGAGGTAACTGCTGTATAAAAAATATATAATTGCCTGAGGCATTTAACCATCTTCATGAGGTAAAAGTTGCAAAGACAATATCTCTTTTGTTTTTTAAACAATTGCAGGACATGTAACATTTGCATTCCTCTCCCTTTTCTCAATCTTCCTTTTGTTTTTTTTGTATTTTTTTTAGCTGCTCGGGTCTGTAAATCACACTTCAAGATGCAAACCATATGCATCATATTAGAGTGTGATCATTGCAATCATGGCAGTCATTTTAGACCATCAAATGAGTATCATATACAATGACTGCATGTTTATTCTTTTTTTAAAATCTGTGCAAAAACCCACAAAAAGCTCAATGTCTCTACAAATCTCCCTCACTGTGATCATTTTAAAAGAAAATATATTCTTTTACCTCATAATCCTGACAGCTGAGTCATCCTGTAGAAGGTGCACCAAATGTAGAGAGACAAGATGCTCCTGTTTAGTGATTTACGTCCTTCACTGACACAACTAGAGGAAATAGTTAGTAGACGGTTTCTATGTACAGTCTCTAAGTTACCTGACAGAAACTAGCTGACACCTGAAAACTTGTACACAATGGTTGTCCCAGGAGACCATTATCACACAGAACCTCAAATGTTCCTTCTTTGGAAGGATTGTCCCCATTTTGGAATCAAATCCTTTTCCCCCTCAAGTGTCTATCTTTTAACTCTGTTGCACTGACCTGTATACATAAATGTACTACTGCCATAGCAATTTATATTGCACCAAGCTTTTTTCCAGCCTCCAGTTAAGGTTTGATTCACACCCAAGCGTCAGCGTTTTCGTGCGTAGAAATGCGCACTTTTT